CTTGACCCACTGTGGTCAGTGCGTTAAAAAAAACTGTGTCCCAGGCAGCAATTTGACTTCCTGAGCATTGTTCAGAAAACAGTATGTGGGGTTCAGTATCCCCCAAACCTTCTCTTGTGCAAATGGAAGGCATTTCTGTTCAGCCAAGCAAAGGTTCTGCAGTTTCCTCACATTTACACCACCATCCCCATTGTAGACTTCCAGGCTGCATCTTGCTCTATTTCTGAGGGTTCCTTGACCTTCAGGAGAACTTTGGGGGGTAGGGAAGTGGAAGGCTGCAACAGGAAGGGAAGGTAGGAAACAATAAGTTTCACTGATGGAACTCCACTCATGGTTTATAGGATCCAGTGCATTATAGGAACCACCTACTGTGGTCACAAGAGCTTCCTTTTGGTAAATGTAAGGGCTTGTGTAATTTAGCAGGATTTGGGGATGGAGTTTTTGGTTCTTATTTGGTACCCTTTTATCCCACCAGTTACCTTAGGGCAGCATACAAAGTCCCCCCCTCCTCCATATTATCCTCACTACAATCCTGTGAGGTAGACTAGGCAGAGAGAGTGTGTGACTGGCCCAAGGTCAACTAGCAAGCTTTCATGGGAGAGTGGAAGGCTGAACTTGGATCCTTATCCAGTGCTATGACCACCACACAACACTGGCTCTCTCTTATGAGCAATAACTGTTGTTTGGCTAATGCTAGCATATTTTGTATTCTTTCAGTATGAAAGCAACGTAGCTGTACGAGACAGAGTGGCATTTGCTTGTAAATTCCTCACTGATGCTCAGGTAACACCCTCAGGTTTACTATTATTTTTTCCATATTTGGTCTAGATTCTTTCCAGAAAATAATGGTATGTGTCCTGTCCCACGCCTGCTGCGGCTTAGCCAATGCCTTCTAGGTATGAGTCAATGCACAACCCCTGACGAAGGCTTAAATTATCTTTATTTAACTCCACATGCATTCAGAAGATCATTTACTCACAATCAGGCTGATAGCTGGGTAGAAAGTTACATGCTTGTGATCTAAGTCAATGTGTGTGGCCATGGTGAGAAAGATGAGATTCCCCTTCTTCGAGGTAAGGATAGACAAAAGAAGCAGGAAAAGAGCAATAAAACTCCTATCTTTACACCTCTGAGCTCAGGAAATTACCCTAATGAGCCAGTCAGAGGGAAGCTGCTGGGACCCCTAACTGAGAACTACAATTCCCAGGTGCAACTAGTCTTAAAGATACACAGCGGTTTTACCATACTACTACTGCCTACAGTTAACACTTACTGGAGGCAGCACAGTATGAAGGCCACAACCATCCATGCCTGTTGTTCTCTTGGGACAGGGAGGAAAGAGGGATTTGCGGGCACTCCTTCCCCATTACAAAATCAAACAAAGGGCTCACTTTACTGTTTTGAATAGCCTTTTGCACAAGTCTGTAAACAGGCACTTGCTTGTGGCAAGGATAACTGCCTCTCAGTGACTGAGTGGGGAAGTGCTTATTAAGAGCACTCTCCATTTGGATCCTGTTAGGCCCCTGAAGCTGCATAACAGAGAAACCCACAGCGTGTGCAGGGACTGGCAGACTAGTTAAAGAAGCATCTTTGTGGACCTGTTCGCAAAACGGCCTTTATAGCATAATGTGGAATCTGGTGCTATGTTTCCTGCTGGAAATATGATGGACAATCTTTTTTTTGTCGTTCCTGCAAAATATTGATTATGTGATGCTGTAACCTGAGGCTCTTGATGTTGTAACGGAGCTCTCCTGCTTAGCTGCTCCACATTTACAGATGGGGCGGGGAGGCGCATTCCCATTTTTGGTCAGCTTCTTCTTTTGCTTCCGTAGTTGAATAGATTCCTTGAAAAGCTAACGAGTGAAATGAAAGAAGCTGGGAACCTAGAAGGAATACTCCTGACGGGACTAACAAAGGATGGGGTGGATTTAATGGAAAGTTACGTTGACAGAACAGGAGATGTTCAGACAGCAAGCTATTGCATGTTACAGGTTTGTATTTCTCTCTGAAATAAATCCAAATCATAACTTTTGTAACAATTCCACACTCATTTTTATTAGCCTGTGCTATGCACATTTCCCAGATTTATACTTCCTTAGACTGACTGCCATGTTTGATTAGATGGGGGTTGGTTTTCTTGACAGAACACTTTGTCTCTTTCCAAGTGTTTTGAAATGCACCTTTCCTTTGTAATGCCTGTGGCCGTGTCAGAAGATAATCGTAGTGCACAAAATACATGTCATTCGTTGATGGCCATAGCCCTAGACTTGGCTCTTCTCTTATTCCCTTGTTATTATATGCAGATGACATGGTTCTTTTGTCTACTTCTCATGTTGGATTGAACCGTTGCCATTAATATTGTGCGATTAACAGATTGGAGTTGAATTATGAAAAATCAAAGGTATTAGTCGTTCCCTATTCCCGAAAATCTTATAAGTGGATTATTAATGGCAACAGACTTGAACAGGTTAAGCACTTCAAATATCTGGGCATCTATTTCCAATCTAATGCTACTTGGACCTACCATCACAGAATGGCTATTAATGTAGCATAAGTTAGTGTTTCTTGCTTTTATTTTTCTGTTTTGAGGTAACCAGTATGTGCCAGCTGCACTTAAAGCCTTCAAGGCTAAACTGGAGCTCAGATACTATATGGGGTACCTCTCTGGATTGATGCAGTGGACGTTTCAGTAGAACGTGTGCACTCTACCTTTCTACGAAAGATCATGGGGGTACCCCGTGTGTGTTCCATATGCCGCTTTATGTTTGGAGTGCGGTCAGAATTTGTTGGCTACTAAGGCATGGATCCACACTATTAAATTTTGGTTACGACTCCATTTCAACTCTGACCCCTTCAGTTATAGGTACCAACTACTTACTGAATCTGTTAATTCCACCTGGCTATCTTACATCAAAGCCAAAATAAGTTCCCTGAATTTATCTCTAGAATCCTTATTTATGCTTTCTGAGTCTCAGCCCTTTTTAAAAATAAAATCTAGTTTATTGGGATCAGAGCTACAAACTCTTTATAGCCTGGCTAACAGAACCTGTTCTCCCTTAAATTTGGGGATTGTTCCTAATGCAAACCTTCCAGCAGTATACCTCTATCAATTCATAGCTCCAAATTTGTGTAGAGCCATATCCTTGGCTAGATTTAATGTTCTTCCTTCAGCTATCTTATCTGGTAGATTTCAAGGGATTCCCTATCCTAGTAGGTATTGTCCTTGTATGAAGGACTGTGTTGAAACTGTTGGCCATGTTCACCTCCAGTGCCCTCTCTATCTGGCGTCCCATCGGGATCTTCTATATCCCATACTAGCCTAATTTTTAGAGACCCGATGATTTTAAGCTCCTTTTCGTGCTTGATAATCCAGATACAGAAATAACTGAAATAGTAGCAAAGTTTCTTTGCAGTGCCATGGTGTCATGGCCAGTAAGTGATACTATTAATTAGGTTTTACTATGATGCTACTCTTATTATGAAGTTACTCTGCAATTCTAATTTTACTATGCACGGTTTTGTATTTAGATTACTGTATCTTCATGTATATGCCAATAAAAGACTTTGGATGGCTATAACAAACAGAATCCTTGTTGTTAAAAACTTAACCCCACTCCTTATTTTTGTTCTGTCAGCAACAGTGGCAGAATTCTTCCAGTACTATCATAAGCATGTTTGCTCAGAAGTAAAGCCTAGTGAGTTCAGGGAGATTTACTCCCTAGTAAGTGTGTTTGGGGTTATAGCCTTAATCTACACTTTCATCAGAATCCTGTTAATGAATATTCATGTTGCTTATCTGTGTACATTTTATTAGCTGATGTGTGCCTGTTTTCAGGGTTCTCCCTCTGAAGTGCTTAAAGACGAGCGGGTTCAATATTGGATTGAAAACTACAGGAACCTCTTGGATGCATGGAGATTTTGGCACAAACGAGCAGAATTTGACATCCACAGGAGTAAACTGGATCCCAGCTCAAAACCTTTAGCACAGGTAAACAAAACTGATTGCCCTGAATAGGACCAATTAACACACATAAAATGGTATATATTGACTAAGATATTGAGTATTCTAATTGTAAGTAGGCTGTCCCTCGTAAAAGTAACATTACAGAAAATAGGACTTGTCCACCTCTTGTGTTCTTTGCTCTAATAAATGCTTGACATTGTTGAATTGTGGCGAGAGGGAGTCATTGTTGCCCAAGGTAGCATTCCTGGCCGAGAGATAGAGAGGATGTTGCAGTAGCCTCTTGATGTAAGAAGGAAATCCAGCTCTTTCCTCCACTGCTGATGTCATGTAAAGCCACTGTGTTGGATCCAGCCTGCTTTTTTGCTCAGTCTTGCTTAAATCCCCTCCTTATTACAGCTGGGGATCAACCGTGGTTATGCTGAGGACTGTCCATGCAGGTCTCATGATCCCCAGCACAGCATTAGAGTAAAAGTCAGATCTAGCTGCTTGGATCCATGTTCAAATGGAAGGGCTAAGAAGATCGCCTTTCTAATAAAGAAATGTCCTTTCTGTCCTTTCATTTTTTATTTATTTAAAATATTTATATCCTTACCTTTCTCCTGAACATCTGAGGAGCCATGGCTAGAAGTATGCTACATTTTCTCAGCAATTATAGAAGTTAGAATCATTCTAAAAGCATTCCCAGCAATTGTGAGACCTAGAAGCACTCCAAAATAAGTTAACACCATAGATTCCCCATCCCCAAAACTCCAGTTGTAACAAGACATGAATCTGTTGCTACTGCCTAGGACGAACCGTGAGCTTTCCATTTGAATGCTATGCTCCTTTTCAAACAGGTATTGTCCATTGCACCAACTTCTAGATGGTAAAGTGGTTACAAGGAGGGGAGAGCAGTTGCATTCTTCCTATTCTTCTCTCAGCCTTCTGAAAATAATCTTCTCTCCTGAAGGGTCTCATATGTGATTTCCTAGAGGGTCATTGCTCCTTCTAGAATGTATTGTGCTAGTCCATCAACAAATCTGCAGTGAGTAAACTGCGTCTTGTTATTTAAAAATCATGTCCCTTCTATATATTTTTCTATTTGCAAAGGTGTTTGTAAGCTGCAATTTTTGTGGAAAATCAATCTCCTACAGCTGCTCAGCCATTCCACATCAGGGCCGAGGTTTTAGTCAGTATGGTGTCAGTGGATCTCCAACCAAATCCAAGGTCACAAGTTGTCCTGGTTGCCGCAAGCCCCTCCCTCGCTGTGCACTTTGTCTAATAAATATGGGAACTCCAGTTTCCAGCTGCCCAGGTATGGCTCCAGTTTTGATCAGTTTCTCTGTGTTAGTTCATAGGATTGTAGCATTGATGTACATACATTTGAATAATTTTTTTTTAATTTGGGGGAAATTGCACAATTATTTTTAGCTTCAGGAACTAGATGAGATGTTGACTACCAGGTTACTTTCCCATCCCCAAACTCAGTTACTGCTCATTTTAAATAGCCATTTTTAATTACTATGGAAGCAAATGACCAGAATATTTTTTTCTCATGCGCAGGAGGGTCCAAGTCAGATGAAAAGGTGGATCTCAGCAAAGACAAAAAACTAGCTCAGTTCAACAACTGGTTTACTTGGTGCCACAACTGCAGGCATGGTGGTCATGCTGGACACATGCTGAGTTGGTTCAGGTAAAGTAGTTGAATTAATGTGTCACATAATCTTGCTCTCTCCATGGTTTCTTGGATTTGTAGATCAGCACCTCCCACCAAAAGACTCATTCTGCAACAAGCAAGAGTACAATAGCTTTGAGAACAGGTCCAAATTGTTTGCTTTATTATCCTTGTTTTATTGTTAGTGAGCATTTATATCTCACCTTTGCTGTTCTGAACAGTTTCTGAGATGTGGTTGATTCTTTAAAAAAATTATGCCGATTTCTTTCCCAGGGATCATACCGAATGCCCTGTCTCGGCATGTTCATGTAAATGTATGCAGCTGGATACAACCGGGAATCTCATCCCAGCAGAGATGGTCCAGCCATAAAACATCATAGCTTGAACAAGGACCTTCAGAACAGGGGGCTCTCCCTAACAGACGTCCTTCACAGCCAAAACACGTACCTCAGAATGAGTCACTCATGACTTGCCCGTAATAGAAAAATAAATCATTCTATCACATCAGCAATTTGATGTGTGGATGGTTTTGATGTGCTTTGCATAGCCAGGTATTGCTGGACTTGAGTCTTCATGTGTGTCATGTGGACGCTGTTCAGCGGGTTGTGAAGCAATTCATTTCACAAGCATTTATAGAAGCTTCACTGAAATTCGAAGCAGTCTGCAGGAAGATTTTCAGCATTATGCTGTCCAGACCTTGAACCTTCCATCTGCAATGAACCAGCATCATATTACTGTATTTCATGAACTTTCGAAAGACAGTGCCCAAGTTATGCTGCTGATTTATTATATTCAGGTAATACTGCCACTTTTTTCTTAGCGGAGACAAACTGCAGTGCTGTTCTGTGACACTGCAGTGATACTCTTCAGGTGAATCAAAGTCTCTTTCAGTCTGCATGAGTAAATAGTAAGGTTCCATTTTCAATATAATATGCTTCTGGGGAGCATCCACCATTTTTACGTAAGTAGCATTAACAAGTTTCAGATAAGTTGTTAGAGACACGAATGTCAGCTGCATAAAACCGTAGCCAACCAATGCTGGACAAAATAGCTAGCATTTGAAAAAGCAGGAATTGACTACACACCTAAAATGTGTTGCAGTATTAATGGTACCCACCCCACATCTTACATTGGGACAAAATGGTATGCTTTTGGTTTAGAAAACGGCAGTAAATATACAATTTAGATGAGTGAGCTAGTTCAATAAAGGTTAACTTACATTGTTCAAATAATACTGGATGTCCCCTGCCATGATGGCTGTTAGTGCCAAACGTTGGCTTGGATCCCTTCTAGAATTTCTGGAGTACAGGGTTATTTTTTTGACTCCCCTTTAGCATTACAGCCCAAAATGCTGCTTTTGTGGCACAGAGGAACCACAAAGGAATTGCTGGAGGTGGGGAGGGTGAATAATAGAGAGCCTGTGGAAGTTCCAAGTGAGATCTCAGCTGTTACTAGATTTCCCCCTGAACAAGATATTTGATTTGTTAAAGTATGTGACAATTACAGGAGCTTTTGGGGTGGGGGAATATGTCTATTTATTTTAAAAACTATGTAGAAAAAAAGTACACAGAGAAAACATTAAGCATATAATGATACACTGCTATAATCAGTATAGATTTACGTTGCAACTCAGTTTATAGATTTCTTTGGTTAATTGGCAGCAAGACCAAAACATGCCACTCAGAGTTGCAATACATCCCTAGAAAGCTAAACTTCCTGTTTGTTTCCAATGCAATTTTGTAATTAGAGTTTTATAGTTGCCTACTTGACAATCCTACACAGTAGTTTGAAATAGACAAGCCTGGGTGCATATGGTGGTCTGTACATCTACCAATGGATTTCCTGCTCTTTCCCACTGCAGTCCCTGCACACACTCAGCCTCTCCTGAGGGTTTGGAGATTTCTTAGAAATGTGGGCAACCCAGCTGGGGAAGGGGAAATCAAAGCAGTAGATCCCTCCCTCTTCTCCCATACATGAACAGATGTGCCTTCCTTTTGCACACTTGGCACTTTGGAGCCAAGCCACCATATCTGTACACACAGCACTGAAAAGGGAAAAAACAAATCCTTCACAGAAGTGAAAACCATTATTTATTTCTATGTATGCAGTTGTGCTGGTGGGCTTTATTATATTGCTTTGGTCAAAGGCCACTTCCAATCAGAATTGCATTTTTGTTATTGAATCTGTAATGAGGTATGCATCACAGTACCCAAACTGTTACTCTGACCTTTTTGTAATGTTGACAAAAGATGAACATTTGCTTTAACAATCTAGAATCTAAAGTATAAGAACAATTTGTAGATTTGATTTTGTTTGTCGTATATGAAGTATTAAGAGAGCATGGATATTAATGTCTTCTTCCCATCAATAAGATTTTTTAAAATGTGTACGTATGAATTATTACTAACTTGGAAGTCTAAAAGCAGTATTTTTGTAAAATAACTGTATTTTATGACTTTTTGAAAAGGCTAGTAAATAAAGACAACCTGGTTCTTGTGGGATTCCTTTGCATCATTTCATTCAACACCTTGTGTCCTTGGAAGAACTGTACTATTTATGTATTTCTATCCCACTTTTTTCCCTATTGGGAGTTTGTAAGGAAAGCAAAAATAAAGTTTTGACAAACAAAACTGTGTGCAGCCCCTGCGCTGATGCCTGGATCCACTGGGACAACTCCGTCAGGGCTACAGTCTGCAAGTCACTAGTCAAGACCTTAAGATCACACCTCTTAGCCAACTAATTGCAACATAAGGGAAACAGAAGTTCAGTCCAGATCTTATGCAGCTGGGAATCATGTTCCCAAGATTCCTCTTTCCTGTAAAGAAGAGTTGGTTTTATACCTCACTCTCCACTACCCAAAGGAGTTTCAGAGCGGCTCACAATCACCTTCCCCTTCTCTCCCCACAACAGACACCCTCTGAGGTAGGTGGGCCTGAGAGATTTCTGAGAGAACTGTGATCTAACCCAAGGCCACCCAGCTGGCTTCATGTGGAGGAGTGGGGAATCAAACCTAGTTCTCCAGATTGCAGTCCACTGCTCTTAACTACTACACCAAGCTGGCTCTCCTAGAACCTCTTAGCCATTGGTCTGAAGATGCCTTTACAGACAGGTTCTGTTTAAGAACCTAAGCCCTTAACATCTGGCCTTAACAATCTTTTAGGGATAGGAGGCTGGCCCATCACATGGTGGTTCAGACTGCCATAGCACTTTCATCCCAGATCTTAAATGTCTTCAAGAGAAGCTTAATATGGAGAAAGGGGTTGTTGAAGGCATGCCAGAGATGTAAGCAATATTACTTGGTAAATAGCATCCCATTAGGCCTCTTAAATGTGTAGGACATTTTTTCCTTCCAGGTTGTTGCAATCCTAGGGAAGGAACACCAAGAAGGTCCCCACGAGGACCAACTGTGTGAAGACAATGGACTACTACCTCCATCCACCTCTTTGCCTCTTGTACCTGGCCTACCCTCTTTGCTAGAAAAGCTGGCCTCTTAGGAGGAAAGAGCCGTTGAAGAGACAAAAAGGAAATGCTGACTAGCCAAATGGGATCCTTTTTCCCAAGCCACAATCTCTGCTTTCAATTAGTGTTTATAAGCTATGCTGTATATGCATTAACTCTGGCTTATGTTAAATTGTTGAGCATTTAGGTAGATGTATTTTTGCAATCAATTCTGAGGATCTTAAATCACTTTAGCTTAAATCACTCCTTCCTCTAAATTGTATTTTTTAATACTTGTCCTGATTAAGCTCGCCAAATGTGATTATTCATATAGTTTCACCGTACTGTTAATAATCCACTTGCACCATATTTTATAGATTCAGGAGGGTATCTGAAGAAGTGCATGCACATGAAAGCTAATACTCAGAATTAAATGTTGGTTTTAAAAGTGCCACTGGACTTAAACATTCTACCATATTTTATAATGTGCTGTAACTGCAGTACAAGCCAACCCTGAATAATGCAATATCAACTAACAGAAGAAAAGTTTAGTAAGAGAAAGTTTTCAAAAAAATTGTTAACTTCTTTACTTTTGTAGTTCTTCACTTCTGTAGTAATCCTAACTTTTCAATAGTCACGTTATTTTTTTACATACTATTTGAGACATTCTCCCAAAGAGTCTTAAACTAAAACTAATTCCTGTTGCAGTAAAAAAACACACACGGGAGGTTAGTAGGATCCTAAAGGCTAAAGATACTTTATTCTACCTTAAGCTGTTGTACATTAGAACCTCCTTCCAGTACAATGGAATACCTCTTCACTCAGCAGAAATTCAGTTCATGATGCAGAGCAATTTAGGGCATGCTATGAGCTTCTTAGCAGATCTGAGTACTCTTCAGTAATGAACAAGGTCAGCCTGCTATCTAGAATTCTGTAGCAAGGTTTCAAAAATGAATATAGATTTATGCACCATGAATATAGTGTATGTGCCATGCAGATTCATGCCAGATGTAACACATGCTGAATTTTATAGCCAGATTTGGGAGTTATTCCCTTTTCAATGGTCAGTCCACATCCAGAAACATGTAGAGACAATAGTAATTCCTTCAACAAGCAGAGTATTTTCCCCATGTTTCTTGCCTATTTGGAAATTTTTACAATGAAAAATGTTTCAATACATGGATTTCCCACAAATATATATATATATATGCCAGACTAGCATTTCTTGGCTGTTACCATTACCACTTGCCTGCTTTATTTGCTGCAGCTGGACAAATATTGTACAATCTGTATGAAGCAACAAGCCTACACACATTTTCTGGGGGAAAGATGTAACTCTTATGCCCAATCATACATGTCAATAAGCCAACGACAATTGTAATATACCTGTGCATACTTTTCCCACCCCATCCAAGCAAGAATGTCCTCTACTTCTCCTACCTGCCACACACCCCTCCAGCTCACTATTGATGGTGTTTGGTTCACAATTATCCTGACTTCTAACCCTACTTTTCCCTCCTGCCCACTCTAGAGCCTGCTGTTCCTCCTGCCTCTCAATCCCCATTATCTCCTTGCTCCCAGAACCTTCCCCTAATTACTGTGCATAATTGCGCTCTCTCTGTCTCATGCATTGTTGCTGGCAAGTCTTCAGAAGCCACGAATGTCACTGTATGGTCATAATCCAGGGCCTGTTTTGTAGATGTTTGGTTTTGTACTAGTCCAGATAGCCCCTATAGCATATAGGGAAATTATGCTGTAGAAGGAACACCAAATGCAGCTGTTTTCTTCTTTCTATTGTAGCACCAGGCCAGTTACTCCTATCCCTCCTGACCAGCAGGAGACTTGTTTGTTTTTAACACACACACACCCATGGCTATTGAAGGCTAGAGTTAAGCAGGAGGCTTTAATAAAGCAACCTGTCTGGTCTGAAATTAATAGCAGATGCATCATGAATGCTCAATTAGCAGTTGATGTTTCTAGAAACTAGGGCTAGACTGAACAATAGTGACGTGACCAATGCCATACATTCCCTTTGCTAAAAGAAAAGTTTATATGACACTGAATGCAGGAAAACTAGAATCTTCAGCACAATCCACCATCAGGGTATGGCTTGAATCCTCCACAGTACCTGCAGATCAATCCCCCTCCCTCCCACTCGGCAGCCGCAGCAAGTGCTAAAAAGGCAATGCCAGGAACTGGAGGGATACCCATGGGCAAACAGCTGCGGAAGGAGGGGGAAGCAGGCAAAACCTAGCTCCTCACATTCCCACAGAGCCTCTTCTGCTGGCACAGACATTTAGGGCTAGGATCCAAGCCGTTAAGTCCACTGCTGCTCTAAACCCCAGAAGCAACATTAGCAAAATCTTGCTTTAAGAATAATTTCCCAAGACTTTATTTGTCCTCTCTCCTCAAAAAGCATCATTCAGAAATCCTAAATTGGCCCAAATGCATATGAGGAACCTAATACTGAGAAGTAGAAATTGCTGGCATCAAACCCATGTTCCTGCACATTTTTACACTTCCTGTCTACCAGCCAAGAATTTCAATATTTTTTTTCAAAAAGGTTTTGTACAACAAATTGATCTGGAATTTTCATTTGTCTCCTTTCAGTCTCTGCAGTTTTCAGCTCTGGTACACCTGAATACAAACAATTACAAGATCCTGTCCATTCCTCTTAATCTGTTAACTAAGTTCTAGCAAATAGTAGTTGCTTCAACTGACCAGAACACCCTGGTCACATCTAATAATAATCCTCCCTCCCCTTTCATGAATACCTCCCAAAAGGAAAACAGACAATGGTGGTTACAGCAAGCAAGCCTGCACACGTGGCAAATCAGATGATAAAAGATATCTTCAGTAATTCCAACAACATCATCCAGCTCCTTCTGATTCATTCTAGCTTGCTAAGAGAGTTGTGACAACTCTTACTTCACCCATCTCTTGTTGCTGTTCTATTATGAACAATAGGCAATGTCTTAGGTGAGATTTTAAAAATGTAAGTAGTAGAGCAGCTTGCTGTTTTCTAGCTCACCTGGGGAAGGGCTTATGAAACACTTGTGTCTTAGAGAGTATGCTGTTCACTTTCTTGAATCTCTGAATAAATAAAAAGCCATGATCTCTCCTACCTACCCATAGGAACACTGCTAACGTTACTAAGATTTTACAGGTAGAAATAATACTGCAATCTATTTGAAAAAAAGTTTGTTTTGTTTCCAGCCTTGGAGATACTTGGCAATTTCATATATCCCCACATAGTCACAGCGAGAACCAAATATACCCATCATTGAGATTGTGATAAACCATTTAGAGTACATGGTAAACTGAAGACCCACAGAGAAATCACAGGAGGCAGCAACAGCTGGAACTCCCCAAAGTGAAAGACTAAGGAGCGCGTAGTTTCCTGCCTATGTAATCCTGTACTTCAGCAGTCTTAACACTATTACACAATAACTCTATAGCACAAACTGCAGATCTGCGGCCAGATGAGCAGGGAGCTGCTCCAAGTTAAATTTTCCTCCCCACGTGTCACCACCCCAACCACACTCGATACTTGTTTTGAGCATAAGCAACTGCATAATTGTTAGATATTATATTATTTGAAAAACTAATAAAATTTAAATGATTCTTTTTTAAAAAATGCAGTGCCAACCAGAGTGTAACTAGCATAGCCAGACTGTGGAGTAACAGGCGGTCTTTTCCAAGTAACACTAATTTTTCTGCTTGCCTGGGTAGTTAGTATACAGAACCCCTCACGTTACCTGTGAATGGCTACAGTACTTGCTAGGTACTCAATCATGAAACTCAATGTACAGCAAATAAGCTGGTGCCCCTGAGGACTCACAGGGAGCAGAAGAGAACCTCCCTCCCTCCAGGCAATTCCCACCTCCCCCATTAAACTGGATCAACATTATGGAGAAACTGAACAGGCTCAGATAATTTGAGGAGTTTTTAAAATGTACAAGCTAACATATTTTCTGAATAGCAAGGGAATTGTCTCACCCTCTCCTCTCCACCCATGCCCAAAATAAACACAATTCCTAAACTTGTAGGGGTGGGGGCTTTCACTGTTGTCATGACAGCAGCAGAATCTTTATATCTGCTGTTAGATGAAATAATACTTTTTCCTAGTTATCTTTGATACATACAAGATCACCTAAAAATCACAAAAGTCAGACAAAATAGGTATTTTTGTATATATGTATCCCAAGCCCACTATACCTGAATGTTAGTCTATTAACAAAATATTCAAAAGCTCATTTATTGAGAAATATAGCTTTTCACTAGAAACAGGTTTTCTCCAAGATTAAGCTTCTATTTAAATTCACTGGTAAGGATCCAAATCCAACAGTTTCTGTACTGTACACCACTGGCATACCAGACTGCCTCCAAAACATTTTAGGCAAGTGTATTTCCCACAGATTAGTGCATAGTAAATATCACAGAACTGTCCATTCTAAAGTTGTAAGAAAAAGCATCATTCATGCCTCAGCCCCCAAAGGGTAGTACTCAGAAAATTCATGAATAATTTTCAGAGCCTCGTTATATAGTGGAAGATCTGAAAGGAAAAAAAACAGGGAAAAGAAAAGTGAATTTACTAGCACAAGACAAGAAAAATATACTAAAAATATTGATAAGTAACAGTTATACTTTGCATCTCATTCTTAAAGAAATTCCTCCCCATTGGGTTGCTTTTAATACTTACCATGGTTCTGTTTGAACTAGCAGGAAATAACTGCCAAGCCTTCAAATGACTAAGAATTTACTGCATTTACAAACTGTATTCACAAGGATTCTCCCTTTACCGGATAAAAATCAGATGAAACAGTAGAGCTGTATGACAACTTTGTACATTAGCAGAATCATTTGGGCTTGGGTCCCATGTAAAATTTTCACAGGCAGAGAAGATCTTCCCACCTTTCGCCTTCTGCTGGAGAACAGGGGACCCCCCAGAAATGGGAGGCATCATCGGTCTTTCGTAGAAGGGGGGAACACCACCATTGTCACCCCAGTCTACCCAGAGAACTTTCAGGTGTGATCCATGCCCCAATTTGGACAAACAAGTGCAGGGATGAATTATTTTGGGATGATAAACTATGAAGCAGGCTTGCTCCCTGAAAACAGCTATGAACTCACCAGTAAATGACTTCTGCAATTGGAGTGGCAAAGCACAGAAGCATGCAAAAAAAATTATCCTGGAAAGGAAAATCCACATGGATTTTCAGTTTTGACATAATGTCTTTCATGCAGCTGCTTTTATGGGATTCATCCCAAGGAACACTTCCAGGGAGGAAAATATTAGGTAAAAGTTGGCCATTAATGTAAAAGCCTTCAAGATCAGTGTGTGGAATCAATTTTCTACAGGATTGGAAACTATTAATAGGGTACAGTTACAATTCAGAAGTATTTAATTTACTTACCAAACATGCTTTTATCGTCTTTGAAGTGGGTATATGATGCACACATGATGTTTGCTTGATTTGTAACTCTTCCCACTACTTCAATGACTCCTGAAATCTCTTCATCTAGCTACCAAACCATATACACCAATTAATGTCTCTGAATATAACGAAGCTTGCAGACAATTAAGCAGACAGTCATCTTCAATTTTTCCCATCTTTACAGTTTTTGTTAAGTTTGTAGTCTACTTTTGCTCAAACACAGCAGGCAGGTAATATATAAATGCATTTTACAAACTCCCAAAATTGCTTGCATGTACAAAGGAAGAAGTGCAAGACCCTTGCTTTATAATCATTAATACCCAATTAACTTAAAATATTTTTCAAACTAATTAAAATAGATTTCATCTTTTGCATTTTCCAAAAGGCAAAAAAAAAAATGCAGGCTATATAAATAACAGGACAACCCGCATTTGTGAAGTATCATAGCAAAGGTTCCAATCCATTCTCCTTTGTTGCCCTATACCTGGAATACTCTCACAGATCATCTACACAGTGCTTTCATTCTCTTCCGTCAAACCCTACCTGAAAACCAAACCCTACTCTCACCTCTTTCCACCCATTATTCTCCTCTGAATTCCAAAAGTGAACTTCATGGGCCAGAGATTTATCTATTGGGCATCTAATTTGTTTTGCTTATGCTGTTCTATAAATCAGCACAAATACGGATAAAACTTATACACTGATAAAAAGTACTGAAATAAAAATGTATAGCTAAGGGGTGGGATCCTATACCTTTTCTACTGATTCAACTAGCCTTTTCAACTCCTGGAAAGGCTGTAATGGGGATCATACAACAACACACACAAGATGGGGTTAGAGCAAGGAGAGGAATTGGAATCTCCTTTGCCCCTCTTCTGCTTGCAGAAAAGCTGGCAGAGGTCATTGTCTGGTAATGGAAACCAAACTGTTTGGCCACTGGAACGTGTTGGCCACTGTGGGCGAGACAGTATGCTGGACTACACGGACCATTGGTCTGATCCAGCAGGGCTCTTCTTATACTCTGAATTCCACCAAAACACCCCTCATATTGTTCCTGAGGACCTACTGTCACTAGGAATAGCATTTTATGGCTCTCAGCAGGCTGCAGCACGAGGTAGGAAAATGATTTTGTTGACTGGAGTTTCTTACATTAGTAGAAAATTACTACTGAATCAACCCAATGAGATGCAGAAAGTACATATCCTAGGATGCATTCTCTGCTGCAGGTGAGTGTATTTGATTTTCTGGGACAATTACTACTGTGCCTGTGGTGGTGCTAATGCTGGCTATTGTGCTTCAGTATGATGACAGCACTTTGTCTGGATGCAAGTTTAGACTTCAAAACCTTCTCTCATAAACTGTTCTGTTGATGCACGTGGGTCATCCATCTCTAGAATTAATGCCACCAAAAAAGCAGATCCAAATTAAATATAAAAAAGCCTTACAAAAGATGCTCTTACTTACAGGTTCATTCAGCTCAATTGTTGCATTTTTTCCATCTCCATCTGACAGAAAGAAATATTTCCCAGATGGGTGTATCTACAAAGACGTAAAAGCATATCACTTTCAAAAGACTTTTACTCATACAGAAAAATAGCAAACATCAAGAACAGTAACTTTATTAGATCTATGAATGCCTGCCATTGTCTTACAAAATAACATCCAGTTTGTTTCATAAAGTAACATCAAGTAACCATACAGTTGTGGAAGTAGCCATATTTGACCAGCACTATGAGCAACAGATACCAGATCACTCTTTAAATGCTTCTATCCATAACCAGACATATTGTAAGGGTAAAATGTAAGAGAGGAAAACTACACACACTCATTTGAGCTCATCAGAGAAAGGGCATGATAAAAATTTAGCATAACAGAAATTTCACATAATAGAGCATTTACTCTGCAGCAATCTACTCCACATGATTCCTAAAGATCTTTAGATTTAAAATGTTTTTCTTTCAGAACTGCCTTATAAGCAATTCAAAAGAGAGCCAAGCAGCACATGGAAGTGGCAAACTGAGCACAGTTTTAAGTCCATGCATATAAACAGGATGCAGGTCAAAAGCAAACCTAACATAATGCCTTTCACTAGGACTAACAAAAATGACACAAAACAGTGTGCAAGCTTTCAGATTCTCCAAAACGTTTCATCTCTCCGTGTTCTGTCAACACAGTCCTCCACACTTACCTGAGAATAAGTTCCGTTAATAAGAGTGGGACTTCCTAGAATTCCTAGAAACTCCGAAGAAAGAACTAAAACCCCGAACAGCGAAAACGTCACCAGCCCACACGTTTAGCGGGTTTTCTCAAGGCAAAAACAGGGGCATTATTAGTACGCCAGAAGCAAGGATCCAAAAACAACAGTCGTCCTTGTATAATAGGGACAGGTAGATAGATCAAGATGAGTAGCCGTGTTAGTCTGTAGCAGTAGAAAAGAGAAAGAGTCCAGCAGTACCTTAAACACTAACAAGATTTGAGGCAGGGTAGAAGCTTTCGTGAGTCACTGCTCACTTCGTGGGCCCAGCCGAGACCTTCCTCAGCAGCGCTTACAGCCAAGAAGAGAATAAACTGTCAAGATGAAACCCTTACCTTTTCCACACGCCCCACGAAACAGACGGCTTTCCCAATGTACTGCGCCAGGTGACTTGTGGCTATGCGAGGCCGAGGCCCTTCAAACACGTCTGCCATGACAAAGTACCGGCGCTTTACTCAGACCAGTATTGGCGGGAAACCTCTACTTCCGCTTTCCCGAAGACCTCTGGCGAGTTACCACCACAACAGAGACGCGTGGAACCCTAACGCTTCCTGCCGAAGCATCACCAATCATCTGCAAGAATTTTCGATATGCGGCAGCTGTGCCGGTAACGTCATTTCCGAGTAGCGAAGACTGCGACGCGCAGGAGCTCTTGCGCATGCGCGCGCGCTATTTCTTGTGTCTCCAAGGTTACTTTCGTTTAGTCCTTAGGATACGTCTATTGTGAACCCGGAAGTGAAGGTTTTGAGGGGGAGAAAGCGGCAGCTGAAGGTAGGTATATGGGAATAAGGAGAATTAAATTGAATGCTACTGTGGTGAAAATCAGAAATTGGCATAGCCCTCATGAACTATATGAGGTGCCTCACTTTAGGAGCTTGAAGACGGAAGCCGTTATTTGTTGAGTTAAGGGTTGGGGGTATGCGCATGCGCATTTTCTATTTTGGTTGTGACGCAGTGACATGCCTTGCTGGCGGAGGGGCGGGGTCGTTTCTTATACGCTCCTTGATTAGCCTACTTGTGACCTAGTATTCCTTTCTGAATTCTGGAGAGGCCTAATTTATCTTAGTTCAGGTTTTTAAGCGGGGCTGGTTGCGGCCTTTACTGTGTTGATTCACTTCGACGTGAGGCTTGCCCACTGTGATCTTAGTCTTGCATGCAAGGGCAAGAGGGAGACCCAGCATGAGAGGGATTGACCCGGTAAAGGAACCCCGGCCTTCAGTTTGCAAGACCTGAGCAAGGTTCTTACGCATAGGACGTTTTGGAGATCATTAATCCGTATAGCCGCCATAAGTAGTAAGCGACGTGACGACGTTTAACACGCACACAAGGCCTGCCTAACTGAACTCAGTGGCATGTGTTTCCGAATAAACATGCGATTGGCAATAACGTTACGTTTTGAAAGATTTCTTCTGGGGTGTTTAAGCATATAAACTAGTGTAAGGAGTGGATCTGAAAATGATATTGGCTAATGCCCTAAGTAGAAAGACAGATCTTGTGATTTTTCTAATCATGAATGTAAGTCATTTATGTGGCCCTACATCAGACCTTACGCTACACGTGTAAACAATTAGTTGGTTCTAGCTGTATGCGCAGTAAAATGTAAGAGCCCCCACTGCAGATAATGTTGTGCTCAGTTGGTAACTGATTTGCTAGAACTCCTTTCCGTGAATAGAATATCCTAAGATGCAGGTTCCCCCCCCCCATACACAGAAAATTGTTACACTTTTCCACTTACGTGAGGCATGAAAAAACAAATGCAAAGTTATTTATTTAAAACCTAACTTGCCTTTTCTGCTGAGTCCTCAGTTAGTTTGGCTCTTTGGTATTGTGATCCTGATTTATTTACATGGAAGTGAACAGCATTGAAAACAGTGGGATTTACTGCCCGGTAAACTATTCAGGGTTTGTCTGGAATGAGTTTTTAAAACACTTCTGTACAGGATTTGTATTTCCGCTGGTACTGAATTTTTTGCCTGAGAATAAAAGCTTGTGGTCTGTTATTTCCACCGTTTGCTCATAGTCTATAGTAGCTGCTCAAGCACATTTACAAAATGTAATATTTTTTTTTGCTTTATCTTGATGGTACATATTTGCAGTAGTTGTCTGTAGTAGGGATTTGTATTCTTGAGAGAGAGGGGGGACCACTTTTTTTGTATATTTCCCTTGCTTGATCACTGCCAGCAGTTCTTATTTGTTACTTGTTCAAGGCAGGTAGTTTTTACAAACAATAGAAATTGTTAGGATAGAAATTAGGCCCAGATTTCCTTTCTTCTGCCTGAGTTGCAGTCCTTTTCAAACACGTTATTCCATGCCCATTTTTATCTGTCCTCTGTATTCCTCTGCATGGCCTTCTTCTCGTCCCTTCTCTGCCACACTGTTGCTCTGAATCATGAGTCCAGGTTTTCAGTACAAATGTTTATTAGCTGAAAAGATATTGATGTAGCCAAGTACCGCTAAATGAAGACTAGTTGGTGTCAGCTATGGGGGGGCATAGAGCAAAGATCTCTCTACGTTTGTAAACTCTCTACGTTTGTAAAAAAACGTTTGCAATCCTAGGAAAAAATCTTGTAAAAAGAAACATCTGTTCCTGGAGGGGGGCATTTAGTAAGACACAGATGACTGCTGCTTCATATGTTATGAGATTTGACATGGGTAGTACTTCTGTGTAACATGCATGCAGTCATGAGTAATTAATGACTGCATTTAGGCATGTAGGCACACTACGATTGGATTTGGCTTTCTATTGGATGCATACCACATGTATACACAGTGAATAACAGTAGCTATGATCTACGTGGTGATTTGAAGGGTTCACAGTTCTTTATTTACATGATTGTATTATTCCTTCAAGCAACCCTGTAATGGCTCCTGTCACACGGGCCGGAAAATGCGGGGGGGAAGCGTGGCTGTTTGCCCCAGAGCAAAATAACGCGCGGCTGCGCAATCAGATGTCCTGTTGAGGTCCCATGGTTAGGGGGGAGGTGCTGATCACACGGGTTTAACCCAGGGCTGCAGAGGAATGCAAACTGTGTCCTCCGTCTGGTTCCCTCCAGGAGGAGCTTCAGCTGGGCCGCCCTCCCGCCACGCCCCCCCTGCACCTTCCCCTCTGCTGCCCAGTGCAGAGAGTTCCTCTCGAGCAGGCCGAGCCAGGAGTGGGGGGGTACGGAAAAGAGGAGGGGCTGTGTTTGTTTTTAAACGAAGTGTGCGCATGCGCCATTGGGTGCTTGTGTGCATCCCGTGGAGACTTGGAAAAAAAA